TTTTTTATATTCAGGCAAAGTCCAGATGCAGCAGAGAAAGTGTTTATTAAATCAATCAATAAAGGAATCTGAGAAAGGTTTTTTAAAAATAATCTAGTATCATCAGCCAGTTGGCTGATGATAATTTCGTTGTCCGCTACAGAGATACCTTTTAGTGGGCTCAGTTTTATAGAATCAGTGAGTAACTGAGTGCAGAGCAGGAAAAGATAAGGCAATATGGGGCATCCTTGCCTGACCCCACGTTTAAGGAAGAATCGAGGAGAAGTGCCAGCATGCAATCTGATTGAGCAGTTTCCATTTGTATACGTTGTTTTGATAGCACTGCTAAAATATGAACCAAAACCAAACTTTTCCAGGGCGTGAAATATAAATTTATGTTCAATGGTGTCAAAAGCCTTATAAAAGTCTAAAAAAAGAATAAAACTTTCATCAGCACATGAGTAATCTGAGTATCTGAGTGCAAAACGTAATATAACAAGGCATAAAAGAACAGTTGATGTGACAATAAAGCTAAGCAGAAATTAAAGAAAATGAACAATTTGAGCAAACAGCAAAATAAAAAAAATGTTACAAATGCAAGAGGAGTTTCAAGTCTTGAAATAAGCTATTAATATACTGGTATAAGGAATGGGCTTTTGGAAGGTTGCAGCGCTTCCTTAAATAAAATTATTTCATTAAAAATATGTTGAACATGGGGGTAATTTTCAGAAAATGACATTTGTGGATAAAAAAAAAAATTGCCATAAGGATTAAGTTAATTGTTGTTGCCATAATTTAAAACTTCATTCCCTGTTAGCAGACCATATTTAATTATAGTAAAATTTAAAGGTGGGATAAAACTCTTAGATATAAGCCAGTTCTGAAAATCTTTCCAAAAAGCATTAATGAAATTGCAATTTAAAAAATGTGTTCTGCTGTCTCAATGTCGGAATTACAGAATCCACATGAGATGGTATCTATATTAAATTTCTTTTGCAGAAAGTCATTGCAAGGATAAATTTCATACATAATTTTGAAATGAATTTCTTTAGTTTTTTGTGGGAATGGATAGGAAAGGTATTTTATTTTTTATTTTATTTTATTTTTGAGAGGAATTATCATAATTTTTAAACAAATGTTTTCTTCTCAATGTACAGGGGAAGAAAGTTGAGGTCAGAGTATTCCTTATGAATTAATTATGACATTTTTTGTCTATAAAGTCATAACCATCTGAATCAAAGCAGGAGGAATGGACTTTAACACGCTCTCAAATTTAATTTTAGTACAGTTTAATGTGGATTTTTTCGATAAAATCATCACATGATAAAAGGTTGCCATTTTCTTTCATAAAGTGTAGAACAGACAAAAGCGTTCTCCAATCAAGCTTTGTAGAAGAATGGTTTTCGTTTTATCAGGATGCATCTGTTGTTCCAAAATGGGACTGAATGTGGTGAGAAACTGTGTTTGAAGATAAATTTCCAATATTGCAGAACCTGTTTATGAAAGTCTCATAATTTTATCGGTAATTAAGAAATTTCAAAGTCGCAACTTAACAGAAAACTAATCTCACCAAACTCTTCAAAAATCTTACGAGGAAAAATTTACCAGAAGTTTCTATAGTTTTTATGAATTTTTGCAACCATTTGAGTTTGGTGGTTCCATTCATTGGATCATATTTAACCCCCTTCCTCTAAAGACTTAACTACATCAGCTCTTCTAATATAATGGCATCTGTTTCTCCAAATTAAATTAAAATTGTCCTGATTTATCTTCTTTATCATTTTATCAGATACGGGCAATGAATAGGCAGGGTACATGAGCTGAGATACATTTTCCATTTTAGTGAGTAGAACACGTCCAAAAATAGATAAATCTCTTTGAAGTCAACTGTTGAGAATAACTTTACTACTCTGGATTTTAGTTTGTATGTTGGAGGTTTCAATTAATTTTTTTATCTTTTGAAATATTAATGCCTAAATACTTCACTTCTTTTTTTAACTGGGATATTACAAACAGCATCCAGCGGATGATCATAGTCATTATTTCACATTTTTTCATATTCAAATGCAGAACTTCTGCATCTCCCTCAGCACCTTTGAAATTTGAGTTTTATCTTTTAGAAACAGGGTTGTGTCGTCAGCTAGCTGTGTAATTACCAGAGAGTTTCCCATCACATTTACTGGTTCAATATTTGAATTATTTTTAACAAAAATTGCTAACAGTTCTGCCACAATAAAGCAGGACAACCTTGAAGGATTCCTTTTTGGATATCAAAACGTTTAGAGGCTCCAGATGATAAAGATACTGAACTATTAACGTCTGTGTAGAGCAACTGAATCATTCTATTAAACTTTTCTCCAAAACCAAAAGACTCCAAAGCTTTTAAGATAAAGGTGAGCTCCACCATATCAAAGGCTTTGTAAAAATCCAAAAAGAAAATGACTCCATCATCCTCCGCCAGATGTTCATAGTCCAGCAAATCTAGAACCAGTCTCAGATTATTGTGAATAGATCTCTCCTTAAGAAAGCCAGACTGCGTGTCATTTATAATCTGAGATAAATCATCTTTTAGTCTGTCTGCTATCACATGTGTGAATATTTTATAGTCAGTATTTAACAGTGTAACTGGACGAAGATTTTCAATGTATCATTTATCTTTTGCTGGTTTAAGGATCAGAGTGATGAGCCCCTGTTTCATTGTAGGTGTTAGTGAATTGATTAATAATACATAATTTATTGTTTCCAGAAAAAATAGCTTTAGATCTTCCCTGAAGAATTTGTAAAATCCTGAAGTTAGACCATCTTGGCTTGACGCTTTTCCAGGAGCTAGTTTTTTCATCACTCTGTCTAATTCTTCTAGTTTGAAATCAGATTCACAGTTATCCTTAAAATCTGCATCTATCCTTGGAATATTTTCTTTGATTTCTTCTAGAAAAATATTTGAGCTCTCGGGATTATAATCAGATGAATATAAAGTTGAGTAAAATTTGTAAATTTCTTCTGAAATGACTTTGTGGTCATTGACTTCTCTATCATCTATAATTAATGAGTTTATGTTTTTCTTCTTTCTTGCCAGTTCTTTTCTCAATTACTGAAATAAGATGTATTTTTTCACCTTCCATCCATTTTTCGTTCATTTTCATTCAACCTTTATTTCTACAGGTAAATCCTACGGAGCCTCGAGGACTCAGGTATTTAGCTTGTGACCTAATGTAGGCACCATGTGCCCTTTTACAATAAATTACATCTAATTGATTTTACAGTCTTATAAACTCAGATTTGTCATCTTCAGTCATTTCAGACTTTTTACATAAAAAATTAGTCTCAGTTATTTTTGTTGTTTGCATTTCAGTTAACTGAATGTAAGTGAGAATTCACGCACCTTAAATTTAAAATATTCCCATCTCTTACTAAAGCTGCCTATGGTTTGGTCGTTTTTGTATCAATTCTTTAATTATATGGATATATCCCTCATCTTTTAATAAGTCTGCGTTAAATTTCCAGTAATCTTTTTAAAATGTTTTCCAATTAGATGGCTTTAATTTAAGCGATATTACACAGTGAAGAGATGGAAACATGGGAAATGTATCTGATTACCTCCAGTGTGGTTAACCATAAATCTATCCTAGATTTTATACCACCATTCGATTTGATCCAAGTGAACTGACGGACACCAGGATTTTAGTCTCTCCATACATCTATGAGATGACTGGAATTAATAAATTCAAATAAGGTCGGATTCTAGAAGAACATCTGTCCATCCAGTCATCTGGCGATAAGTTATAATCACCACCTACCACCACAAAGTTTGAATTATACATTTCCTTATATTCAGAGATAACATCAGTTAGCTTTAGCAATAATGACTTATTTGATTATTATTTGCATATCCATAAACATTGCACAATATAACAATGTATCCATCAACATTTATCACAACTGCCATCCAGTGACCGAGCTCATCAGCTTTGGAAGCAACAACTTTTCCGGGACATCTGTTAAAACAAATGGCTGCTCCTCCAGAACGATTTGAGCCATGGCTGAACAAGATCTTCTTTATATCGATCCAGTTCTTTGGAGTTAGCTTTGAGTTCAGTTACTTCCTTACGTAGACTGGACACTTCTGACTACATAAAAGCTATTTTCTCCTTACATTCTTTCACTTCAGCTGCATTAAACTCTAGAGCATCAGCAAGGCTGCTGATCATTAACGTGTTCTGAGTTAGTCTTGTGTTCATGTTCCCCATTTTTTCATCTTGGGCGTCGAACCTCAGGTGTAGAGCTTGAATGGCTTCCAGCAAATCTTCCATTGTTGTGTTTTGTTTCATTGTTTTTCGAGCAGGAGCACCTTCGGTATGATTAACTCTGTCACTTACAATGTTTCCAAATATCTGGTGTCTGTACTCATCCCTTTAGTTGGCAGCTCAGAACACCACATACAGAACACCATGGACTTTGTGGACAAGGTGAGGGATGTCATCATGGAGACTGATGAAACAATGGTCTCTTTTGATGTCACATCACTCTTTACGTGCATTCCTGTTGATGATGCAGTAGAGGTGGTCAGTTTAAAATTAAAATCAGACACCACTCTGAGCAGCAGGACCACGCTTTCCACAGAACAACTGTGTCAACTCTTGAAACTGTGCCTGCAGTCAACCTACTTCACATATGGGGAGCAATATTATAGGCAGA